CATTACCCTTCCTTCTGCCGTTCTAACCCTCCTAGCGTGAGTACTATGTTTTGCGCGGCGCGGCCCGTAGGGAGGACGGCGTACTCCTCCTCCCTGCGGAGCGCTATTATGTCTTCGATCGATCGATGATGTAATCGCTTCCAAATGCGTCGTTTAGTCGTGCCGTGCGGACGCCCGATCGATCGTTACAAATGTGTCTCTCCAGGCGCACTCGTAGGCAATGCTAGGAATGAAAGGACGGCCACTTCTTCTTCGACGAGGCGCGCACAGAACGTCCCGGAAGAGGGATCCGCTGGGATCTGGGAATGCCCCGCAGTAACTACCATCGGCGATTGCAACAATTGCGCGACGATTACGGTGGATAACGCGCACGTGGGTGATTTTAATAGGGACGGTGTGTTGAAAATCAAACGTCAACTCGCGTCTTATCACTGTGTCGATATTATCGGCCCGCGTAACAAGTAAATTCGTATTTTTCAGGTAAAATGTAACGATTCTATCTTTATGTCGTTGTAATTTCGTGAAACGTAATATATTCGAAGGATAACAGAGAAGATAGTCTATCAAAATACGCACACATTGTCTCATAAAATTATGAGACGATATCGAAGTGCAATTGCTTCATTTTATCTGGAGAATTTGAAAGATTATTTGTTACAACCTAATATATATTTATTACTCTCACGAATTATAATCACGAATATATTTATCTCACGAAAATTGGCGGTATCATCGTGTTTTATCCTCACTGCGGAATCCCTCATTCGGATCTCTCCCCGATCTTTCTACGCGAAAGTAGACGTTTTTTTCTCACGCCCGCATATGTTAAGAGAGTTAACGAGTCGCTGGACGCAATGTGTTGTGAAAGCGAACGCGGCTCGGCTGGAGCGCGAAATGTACGAATATACATACATGTACGTACATGATTTACGACTTCCTTCTGTATTGACCGTCTCGTTCCTCTGTTCGGCTCGACCCGCAGGAGCAAGAAAGAAAGAAAAAGACAGAAAGCGAGAGAGAGAGAGAGAGAGAGAGAGAGAGAGAGAGAGAGAGAGAGAGAGAGAGGGGAAGGGGGGAGAGGGAGGAATGAGCACAGGGTAGTGAAGAAGAAGCGGAGGGCGGCCGGGTCTGACCCCGGGCGGGCACGCCGGTTTGCATATTCGCCACTGCACAACCCGGTGGCGGTTATACATCATGCATCCGCGGCGGTCCCAGCGGGTCGCGGCGCAAGTGCAACGGTGCACCCACACGGTGCATCCGTCCGTGTCGTGTCCTCACGTGCAGCAGCGGCGAGGGAGAGAGAGAGAGAGAGAATGAATGAAAGAAAGATAGAGACACCGGCGCGATATTGCACGTGAGAGTGGGTGCTCGCATGTACACACAAATACACACGCACACACGGGGAGAGTGCAAGGGTTGCATATACGTACAGCCGTGATTCCGCGGACGGCTGGTTCTTGCATTCGCACGAACGTCTCGTTTTGTGTCCTCCCCGCCGTGCCGAAGAGGTGATTCACGATAGCTCGGACGATAGCTCGGGCGAATTTGCATCCCTGGAATCCGCGGCGTGGGCAGCGGCAACCTGTCCCTCCCGTCCCTTCCTCTTTCTCTCTCTTTCTCTCCTGCCCCTTCTGCAGCCGAGTCGAGCGTGTGCCCTCTTTCTCCACCATTTCTCCTCCCCAGGATTCATTCTTACGGCGCTTCGGCCGCAGCCGACACGAATTCCGCGTAGCGCTCCTTGCTCTTACGGACTGTCACGTACCAGGATGCGATTCCCGGGATGTATTGTGATCGCGGAGAAGGGAAGGTAGGGAAACGGTGACCCTCACGCGAGTCCCGATCGCGAATGTGACCTTTATCGGCCGGCCGGGCCAACGGGTCAACGCATCGGCGTTTCTTATCGGATGTAATAATCAGTGTTGAACATCCGCGGTACAAAACGGTAATCTGCGTCATCGCATAGACCGTGTAAATCCGCTTTTTATCCGCGATGTCTGTGTGGGCGACGGGCTACCCACGCAGACATTACATTCCGTTTGAATACGGAAAGGGGTTGGAATCACGTTCGAGTCGCCTCTCTTCGTGGATGCTCGCGTCATCACAACGGTAATTTCGAGTTGCCTCGGCGCACTTTGCGACTATCAGGTGGTCCATTGTTTCTCTTATTTGTACCGAAAATAGTAAGTTACTATATTCGCTATCAGTGTCGCAAGCGAGAGTGACGAATTTTTCTTTCTATATCCACGTAAACAAGCTGGATTTGCTTGCACAATTACATGAAGAAATACTGGGGGGGGTCATCGTTAGCCCCACGTTGTCGTTTAAGAATTAAGACGATCTTAAATATAAAATCGCACTATGAACGCCGACTCACGAGAGGAAACCGCACGGTGCAGTCGGCTACATGACGTAATGTCGGCGCTCAATTCATCACGTGACATCGCCGTAAAATTCGCTTTACGGGCGGAAGAGTACGGGAGGTTTTCGCGATATCGCGACCGGGAAATCTAAACGCGCGTCACGCGTCACCGGTTTTATTCCCCGGGAGTTTTCCCGATCCGGCCCCGCGGCCGGCTGACCGGCGATCGCAGGACGTATTTATCGTCGGCATTAGCATTATTCAGACGCGGGAAGCCCGCCGGCGAGGTATATCCTTCGATCTTTGCGCCGCGAAACGGGCGGTCTCCCTTCTGCGAGACACGCATCGATCTTGCACATCGTCGTCGCGCGCTCGCAGTCGCAGCCGAGTTAATGCGCGTCGAATATGGCGATATGAGGTCGTCGATGGGATCCTCTATAAGGCACATCTGCGGCAGGCCTCGCAAATGAAACAGCCTCCCCCTTATACAACTGTGTATTGTCTCGCCGGCGAGATCTTATCGTCGCCGTGATCATTCGGCCTTGTTTCTCTTCTGGAGAAGCCAGCGAGTGTCCTTCCGCCGTTCGCGCGAAATTAAACGGCGGCGTACGTGCGCGAGGATCTCCTTCGATTATTACGCGATGATGAGAAATAAACGCGCGTGTACAGCGCAATATAAAAATAATATATGCACGTAAAAATAAATCACGCGTTTTAAATTGCTATTTTTGTTTCAATATTCCGTGAAAAATTTTTCCGTTTTAATTTTGCCGCTTATTCGTGCCGCTTATCATTTCGATACTTTGAGTAGATCTCTTTTTCTCCTCCTCCCTCTCCCCCATCGCATTTTAATTTTGCACCTTATTATATTGTGCATTATCGTATCCCGAAATTATTCGATTGCAAATAAATTAGATTAATTCCTCTCGCGCTCGCGACAAGCGTGTCGTATTAACGACACGTTGGAACGGCCTCGAATTAATTAAAATCAAATTAAATGCAAATTGTATAAATTATCGAATTCGAAAGCGGCATAATTTCAGCGCCTACGATAATCCTGAAATTAATATGTACTGTCGGTTTATCGTTTGCATATCTCATTAAGATTCCTGATTTTTAAACTGTACCATTTTTTTAAATAACAATTTTTTTTAAACGATAGTTGTGTGTTGTGTATGTCGATCCATTTGCCTATGGCTAGGATCGACGAAAGAGGAAAGCTGCTCTCGCGAATAGCGATAGGCTCGACTTTTAGCGGTCATACGAAAATGGTCCGTCTCGGAAACACGACCTCGGTTGCGATCGGCGTAGTCTAAAACGAAACGCTTGTATTCGGGTGAGAACCGCGCGAGAACTCCCTCGACCGACGTCTCGTACGTTATCGGCGCCGATCGCAGATACGGTGCGCCTCCTTCGCCTGTTCCAGGAGGTTACAGAACTAATAGACCAACCTCCTTCGTGCGCGATCGCCGTACACCACCGGCCTCTTAGCGCCTCTCGCGACCATCTACATACGGCCACGATCTTGAGTTTCCCATAGGTGCACTCTCCCGCGCCTCCGTGCAGGATCACGGACCCCTCGTTACCCAGCTGGCTGTGTATCCTCCCTTGTTCTGCCTTATCTCTCTTCAGCACGGCGATTAACACCGTGTGCTTCCTTCGACAGATTCCTTCATCTTGTACACGTCTCGTAAACATTTTCTGAGCGTTCCGTGAATATTTTCCAACTGTTAGTTCAGCGTCAGTCCTTGTAAAGGACCTCGCACAAAACCTGTGGAAAATGGTTTTCGATCAAATTGGCTAAAATTTCACTATGTTATAGTTTTCGCCATGCTGATAAAAAGTTATCATTGCACCAAGTCCCAAAAGTCAATATTTCCCAAGATATAAAGGGTCAAAGTAGTGAAATATGGTCATCCGCAGTAGTAAAACGTATGTTATAAGTGATACATTGATATTTATGCACGAAATAAATAAAAATCGATTTTTACATATATATATATGTAATAAATATTTAGTTCCGTAAGATATATGTATATACAGGGTGGGGCAAAAGTATCGGACCGGTGAAATATCTCGAAAAATATAAGTTTTACAAAAAATTGTTTCAGATCTTAATAATATTGCGGAACTAAATATTTATTACACATATATATGTAAAAATCGATTTTTATTTATTTCGTGAATAAATATCAATATATCACTTATACTTACATACGTCTTACTACTGCGGATGACCATATTTCACTACTTTGACCCTTTATATCTTGGTAAATATTGACTTTGGGGACTTGGCAATGACAACTTTTTATCAGCATGGCGAAAACTATAACATAGTGAAATTTCAGCCAATTTGACCGAAAACCATTTTCCATAGGTTTTGTGCGGGATCCTTTGTCTGCTTTCGAGGAAGAGAGCGAAAGAGATTTGCGTCAGGTGATTATTATCACGCGGCCCTCGCTATTAATACTGCGAATTTCTATGTGAACATAAATGCTCTTGTATCGAAATTCGAGTTCTATTTCAACTCAGTAAATTCCATCGCACTTGAAGAATTAATGGAGAGTCTGAAGATATAACGTTAACAGACTGTTGTTCATTAATACTATAAATAATTATTTACCGCGGTTTTCTCCGCATGTTGAGGTCTGGAGAATTTATTTAAGAATTATCTGTACAAATTAAGGTTATGCTGTGTTGTATGCAAAATATTTAATTTATTTTAATTAACTGCATCAACTGCATTAATCTTAAAAGGAATCGGTCGCAAAAGTTTACATCACACAACACTACATCAATAACAAATGTTACATTTCTCAATACGACTTTAGTTTTAGAGATATTTCGTTCGAAAATGTGAAAAGTTTGGATATTAGTGGTGTCGCGACGTTTTTATTGCAAACATAGTTGTATTTAATTCGCCATCAGTCTATTTTTTTTTTTAATATACTAAGCTATTGCCGTACCGTTCGATCGCTTGATTAAACGATTTATCGTTTTTTGCTATGTCATCGTATAATTCACGTTGCATGTATTAATATTGATAACAAAGATTTAAATGCATAAATTACTCTATCAAATGCAGTGCGACGCAAAACATTACACTTTTATTAATATATTATATGCATAAAAATCTTATAGAAGATGAAAAGGTATATTAATTAAATATTGCTATCATACAAAAGTAGTAATAAACAACGTAAAATAAAAATAGCTTCATCTAACTGTGCAACTAGCAAAAGTAAGAACAAAACAGCACGCATAATGTTAATTATTGTTTGGGCGAATGTAATATATTAATGGTAACATTAGTGGAAGTGACACATGAACTTCAAGCATTAGTTTGCGTTACTTCGTAGCTTAACAAATTACGGAATTTTACGAGAAGAACGAAATTACAAGATTTATTAAATTTACGGTGATCCATATTAGCAAACTTGACACAACAGTTAGCAACGTGTAATGAGCGATCATCAGTCTGAAAGAAAAGTGAGTTATCGTGAGTTACGTTTCATGAAACAAAGGATAAGGGAGACCCATCGAGAGAGCGATACTCACTTCTTATATCTCAGGCGTGCTTGTTTTAGAGTATCTTCCGGGTCTTTAGCTATGTATATACGAAGTCCGAGAATCATGTGCTTTATAAATTCATCCCAGGACAATTCTGCCACGTTGAAGTCGAAAATCTTACGGTCAGTTGGATTTAGACGATCCCACAGTTTGACAACGGCGTCATTGCGGAATTGCCATTGACGTGTTGTGAAGTATGATATCGAATCGGTGAATACATGTATTTTCTTGTAAGTTTTCAATAACCTAAAAGCCAACTCGGTTAACTTCGGCGAAGAAATTTACAGAATTCATTTATCATAACGTTAACCCTAAAATATATAAAATGATTTGCGATATTCGTTTTCTTTTTTCCTTAGGAAAAATATTTCCTTTATTCTTCAGATTGCAATTAGGTTGAACTATGTCGAAACTGTCTTTCCGTTACTTTAATTGTTATGTATTATTAATAAGGGATCATATACATTTTAGTGTTAGGAACTTCTTACTTGGGTTTTCGGCCTGTCAGGAAGGCCAAAACGTCAACTATAACAGCGGGTATCGTATGCAGGAATAACGCATATATGTTATGGACTAATCGGTATCTGTTTAGAGTAAACACGTAACACCATAACATATTCATGAACGGTGTAAGTAGACTGTATTGCTCGTTGTACTTCATGAACATTGCCCAAGTGATGGGATTTTGATTCGACGACACGCAATTGTAAATTAGCGCTCTCTCAGTTTCCGAATTCCTGGATTTTGGATTTGCATCGTCAACGCTCAGTAAAGTGTCTCTGGAAAAAAACGAGTATTAGAAACGGCGAATAAAATTATGCGTTGGCGTGCGTGCCTCGGTCTGGTCTGCGTCTAGCAATAAAAATCGAGGAAACATAGCATAAGAGAATATACCTCACGGAATGTCAACTTACTTTCTCTGGGCGGTGTCCCAACCCGCAACGATGATGTTTGCGATTACGTAATCGGCGGGTACCAGATCCGCCGTATTTTCGGGCATGCAATGTAAAGTACGTAGCAAACCCAAGCCACTGCCCATTACTACGCCTACCGGTCCGTACAAGTTGTTGATCCATCCGGTTATCGGTTCTTTCGCCGTCGTTACCACAATCGATGGACGTACGACACAAACTGGTAATTCGACGCTGTATTGTCGTACTGTGTCTTCGGCGATCGCCTTCGTGTACATGTAGGTATTCGGCCATTCTCCTATTAGCCTATACTCGTCCAATACAAAAAGAATAAGTCACTTCATGAGAATACTTATTGCGCCTTCGATATCGAGTGAACTGAGAATGGATCGAAAATCGTTCGAATTTCTTGCACTTACATTGGTGTTATTATGTCCAGTGTCTCATTGTCCAGAATATCGAGTAACGTCAATATCGCATTCGTTTCTAAAGGCGAAGTGTAAAACTTCTCCTCGATAAACTTGTTTACGCAGTAAGAAAATGCGGTCGATACATAAACAAATGCCTAAGTAAGAAACAATCGAATGATTAACGTTGATTTGTGCGTCTATGAGAGTGAGATGTGATTGAAACAGCACCTTTAAATCCGTCATCTCCCTCGCGAGGAGGAGAATTTCTCTGGTTCCTCTCACGTTAATGTTCACCGCAACTCGAATCGCTTCGTTAAATCGCACGGTCGCCGCCAAGTGGAAGATTACGTTTGTGTCTAAGAGACGTTTCCGATTTTCCGGTGACAAGCCTAAATTTATTTCGCCGAAGTCGGCTTCTATCATTATTATTTTGCTAATAAAGTTAGGCTGCTCTTTTTTCAATTTATCGTAAACCTAAAAATAATCGAAATCTAGAAAAAAGATGCGAGACAGGGACCACGATTGCTTTCTATTTAATGAAACATATATATTTCATTTAGGTTAAATTTGATTTATGTTCCATTTATGTTAAAATGTATGTCCATTTATGTTACTAACAACATTATCAAAGTGCTGCTTGAATCGCTCTTCCGCTGATTTTCCTTTCTTCTCCCTCATAAGAACGTACATTTTTCCTAAATCTGAGCAGCATCTGAAGGTATATATCACTTTTTTTTTAATATAAAATTCTCGACATTTATATGTATCGTGATTTCTACATTCTACGATGGCGTATACTGGATCATATCCAATAAAATTCTGCGTTTAAAATTTTACTTGAAAGAAAAAATTTGTTCTCAAGTCTTTTAATTTGTTAAAAATTTTATTTAATCTTCCGTTTTGTGATATGATACATTGTATACTTTGCGTGACTCTGGTGGTTATTTCGTACTTATTATAAAAAGAGACAACTAAAAAATGTGTCTTTTTCGTGTTAAAATACTTGCCGCAGTAATCTTTCTATTAGAAGTATGCCAAAGAAGCCGGAGCCGCCCGTTATGAGAATGTTACGTCCCGCGTAATATTGCAAGACTTCGCTGTGGCAGTCGTCCATAGGATCCGATATTAAGTCGTCGATGTAATCTTTGTTTTTCAGTGTCATTTCGTCAATGTCTTTTCTGAGAAAAGAGTGATTTTATTCACCTTTAATTTTGAGTATGCGCACAATGTTACTGCACAATTGAAAATAAATATTCTCAATGTCGAATTAACGCATTACTGATTGTTACATTAATAAGCTTAACGATGGATTCTGTGTCTCACGTTGATATTCGCCAGCTCTGACAAAAGCCTGACAGCCTCTGATTTTCACCAATAACGCCAATGTGTTCCCACAAAATATTACTCTTCGTCAAAGTAATCGTCTAGGAAACCGATAGAAGCTAACATTTAGAATTTCGTGTGCGAACTCGACGACACGCGCGCTTGTACTGAGATAAATAACTACAAGAACACGGGCAGGGATAAAAATGCGTGGAGGAGATACTTTTTCAACATTGAATATATGAATATAATTAAGACCAAAAGAACGACGCATATTGGAAAAAGAATAGAAGAACGTTGCCCATCGTATCTTAATGACCACAATGACTATACCAGTGAAACAAAAAAGATTCTATACTACATGCGCATACACATTGTATACAGGACTTTGTCTCAATTTCAGTCGAAAGAGATATCCAATGTGATGAATTTTTAATCAGATGTTTTAATTAATAATTAGCATTTTTACGAAGTTTTCATCAGGATTGATAAACGTATTCAGGAACTTACGTTGCTACACTGCTACTGTATGTGTGCGCGCACACGTGTGCGTGTGTAAATATTAATGTGACATGTACATAAAAATAAATGTGTATACACACACAATGTGTTTGCGCAATGTGTTTACACACATATATGTGTTTGCGCGTAGACATGTCACTTTACACATGTCAGATTACACTGTTTTCATGACTCTATCGTCGGACAGTGATTTGCGAGAATTAAAATTTACTTAATTAATAGATTCTCTACTTAACTTATCATCATAACTCAAATTAATATCCCGACTATCCGTTGATAATCTATGTTAAGTATTTCGCCAATCATTTATATTAGTTTTCTTTATTACTCCTTTATTATATTTGCAAATTCAATTAATAGCAAAAGAAATTATTTTAAAAATAATAATAATTTCGATATAATAATTTTATAATAATTTTGTGTTTATTATATACTTAATGTAAAAATCGAAGAATGTGTTTGAACCAGTTTGATTATAATGAATAAGTCTGGCGGTCCGATTTTTTACATAGACTTTGTATGATAACGCTAATATGTTCTCACGTAAATATTAATTTTGAATTAATTATGTGAATCGAAGAAAATTTATTAATAACAGAATGAAAATAATTTGCAATTATAAATACCGGTCTTAGAATCTAGTGTAAATCTTATAAGTGCCTGACTCTTACGTTTAATATCTAATAATAATGTTCTTTGGATCGCGATACGATGTTATTTATATATGCCAAGATTTTTTTCAATGCCGTTTTTTAAATTGCCTTTGTTATCGTACAGGATCCAAACTTAAATTTCTTGGTAAAGCATTTTAAAGTACACAACTTTTGCCTTTATAGCTTCTTCTGAGGAAAAAAAATTATTTTTAATTTAAAATGACACACCGAGGTCATTGCCAAGACACGTGTGCAAATGCGCACTAATTTCCGCTCACGCATTTAGAGTTGACTCTGTGCGTTCAGATGTAAGTAAAAATTTGTTTCATATTATTTAATGTGAATTTTGCAAGGAAATTGAAGAAAATTGAAGAAATAAACTTTTTGAAAAAAATTATCGAACTGAATCGAATATATACTCTTTTAACCTTCAACATGAAGAAAACAGTAGAAAATAATCGTTTTTATCGAAGTTGGACAATAGTCTGTATAGTACTATATTGAGCCGAAATTTGATTTCCACATTAATCTTACAAATTGCATCGAACTTGAAGGACCAGTGAAGAATTTTGATATATAACACTATAAAAAATAATATAATAAACAATGCATTGATTATGTAACTTAACTGCAGATAAAATTTTTACAATAAATAAATATTACATAATTCAATAAAGATTAATAGGTAAGAAAAACAGCAAATTTCTTTATGATCTCTTTATTATTTATTTTTTTCATGGATATTGGAAATGTGTACAAAAATATATGAAATATATGTCTGTACATTTGAAAATGTATGAGTTATCGCTGCTCGCGTTCTAACTTTCCGATTCAGCATTCCGTTATGGCAACCCAAATACTAGTCTGTGACACTCGCGCAGATACAATTCAATCGGAAAAAACAACACGATGCCGAATTCAATTAAATATTTCGGGAGCCGTTGAAACATTTTGCGTACATGTAATGTAAACAGACTCGATAATGGGAAAGTACGCGTCGAACAAAGTACAAGAAAAGAAACTACGTATTCCGGAGTAATGAAAACAATGAATATTCTCAGAACATCGAGGACCGTCAAGGCCATCAGACCTACATTCGCGCATTTGATTTTTCGAGTGTTTCGTGAAATCGAAGTGATAGTACAGTGTATGAAAATATATGTAAGATAACGTGATGACTGTTAATATATCGGTACATACATCTGTACTGTCACTTCGGCTCCTATCATAACCGATTTATATACGTAATATAAATGCGTCAGCAGTGCCTCTCAGTTTTGACACTTTGAAGAGTGCGCTGCAACTTCGAGATGCGTCCAAACCGTTTTGTGACTTGATATACGCAAGGAAGCGACCACCTGTTTCGGTAGGTAAAACTGCACGGTCTGGCCGCGCAGTTTCCCGAGGCGTCACGTTCCTCCGCAAGAACCGGCAGATTTACTGGTCACTCCGCGCGGCGGACTCTAATTTTACGCGTGCAAAAATAACGACCGCGGTACGCGGCAAAAAAAGCGCAGGTGCGGTTACGGCACTTGATAAGCACGCGCTGCGTTTTCCTTGGCGCGATCTGACCGCGAGACGAGGGGAAAAGTGCGATAAGTGGAGGCGATAAATCGCCGAAGCGAACGGCTCCGAGTCGTTGAGCCGGCGCGCCGTTTATTACCGCGGAAAGTAGCAAAAATGTTGCTATCGGTTCGGAAAACGTTAACCCGCGCGATCTACACAGGTGTGGAATTAGAAAACGCCGCGAGGCGCGCGCGGTAGATCCGACCGAGTGAACTAAAGACTCAACTAAGAGTAATGATGCTTACTGAAAAGAAAAAAAAAAAAGAAAAAAAGCCATTTGCAGGAAAATTACGATTATTGTTGAAATCGAATGTGAAAGTCTCAAAGCCCGATAATAGCTATAGATAATTGAGTATATTTCCTGAAAGCTTCAATATCTTGATAATTGTAGTTACATAACATTCGAAATTAAAAAGCGTCAGAAAGATCAGCCGCGGAGATACAGGTGACCTCGCCTTTCAGTTATATTCAGCTTGATTTCACTTTCCCGATTACTCCATCCTGATTTAATTCCGTGAATTTGTCGGAAGAACGCGGTATTTGCCGATCGTGATTAAAATCGAATCTAAAAGAATTTTAGTCCGAGTTAAAAATAATTGAGTATATTTCATGGAAGCCTTAAATATAATGCGCATTTCTTATGCACTAAAATAACAGAAGCAATATCGCCGATGCTTCGGATAGCGTCGGGATTTAGAGATGGTCGTTGCTCATCCTTTTCTTTGACGTGGAATAGACTTAATGTTGCTCCTGATCTCCCTTCTACGCGGCGGGCCATGACACCATACTAACCCGGTGGAACGTTGTAAAATTAATTTACGCTTGTCGTGCTCAGCCAGTAGTAAAACGCGGTATCGTTTCCTTCCTCTCCGTTTCTCTTCGCTCGGTTGACCGTACTGAGCATTAAAGCGCCCGAGTGTGGCAATGCGAGAGCGAGGTCTTAGAGTCGGCCGTCGTGGATTTTATCCCAAAGTTACGATACAATTTACGTATCCTTTCTAATTTATCATCGTAATATTTCGAGTTTTATGGATAGCGCATTCCGGGAACAAAAGAAACAAGTTCAAGCTCTTAATTTCTCGTTGCGCTTGTTTGAGTTTCAAAATATATCTTGTATTATTATTCTTTCATAAAAAAATCTTTTAAGAAAATAAATCGAAATCTGCCGGTTTTTAGGGGAAAATTATCGCAATCATATCTGTTTCCTTAAATCGTACCTCATCAATTTCTTCTTTTTTTGATTAATAGAAAAAGAATAAAGCCATAAGGTACACATGGATTTATATGGCGTCCATCACTTCCTTCATTATTATTGAATTATAAACCGCATCTAACATCAAAAAATGAGAAATAAATGGGCAATGAGAAATATAAACAAAAGATTTCGAGATTATGTCTTATTTTGTGCGCGTTACAAACGTTTTGAAACAATCAGATACGATTTAGAAGACCGGTACGATTTTGATAGCTCTCTCCTATTTCGCAAAATTTTGAATTGACACGACGTCGAGAGCGAGAACGTTTCGCGCAACGGCTCTCTTACACGTCTAACTCGTTCCTAAGTAGGGAGGATAGTTCGGTGCTAGACGGACATCTCCACGAGGTGCTTAGACCCCGTGGGAGTCATCGTGCGATCGCGTGTGGAAGCGGCTGCTCGGTCGCCGCGCCGGTCGCGTGATAATTCGCGACGGCCACCGACGAAGTTTCCACGATCGATCGTCGAAAAATCCGCGGCTCCTTCGGCGGTGGCCCTTTCCGGCGGCCGAGAGGTCATTGCACCAGCGGCGTTGCGCACGCCGACGAACGGAAAAGCGCCGTTCTACGTTTCTGATAAAATGGAAATTAAAGAATGTCTCATTTGCGGTATCGCGAGCTATATGCCGTTCATATCACGCCAGTCGGTCCTTCGAGCGATTCGCCAGAGTACATTTCCTTTCTCACATGCTCGCGGACATTCGTTGTCCGTTCGTGCGAAAACGAAATTTGCTTGAGATATTTTTCTGCTCACGGCCGGTAACTTCTGAATTCGTAAAGTTAGATGCATCGAGACGCGACATCGGGGAAAGCCATATCGCTCCCGCATCGTTAGACGGAGGATAAAAAATTCAGACTCGCGACGCGAGGAAAAAGAAAAAGAAACGCCGGCGCGGTGGCTCCCGCAGGTAACCGCGGCGGGGCCATTGGCCCCGCAACGTCGAGAGGACGCGGAACGTTAGATAGCAAAACGAACGATAGATAGGGATAAGGACACCGCGAGAAGAGGGATAAATTACCAGTGATAGAATAGGACGTACGCCGCGGTAAAGGAGGCAGGAGAAGGGAAAGATCGAACCCCGAAGGGTGGGAGAAGCCGCGACCGCGCTGCGAGGTGGTGGTGGAGCGCGGACGGCGGGGAGAAGTGGAAGGAGACTCCTTTCGACCTCTGCCAGAGACCCCACGGTGAACCCCGCCCGAGGCAAGGGGTCAGTCACCTATTCCTCTCTCTCTACGCGGCCTTTTACCGCGGCACAACAGGCTAATTACGCCTGATTACGTACCCGTTTTCAGGCGTGTACGCGTACGTTCCTGGCCGTGCCAGGGTCTTTCTTTCTCTCTCTCC